CAACCCTGATCTGTACTTCTTCACAACTTTGTCCCTGAGCTGTTTGGAGAGCTCCTTGGTCTTCATGGTGTTCGCTTGCTTGGTGGTGCCCCTTGCTTAGTGGTGTTGCAGACTCTGGGGCATTTCAGAACAGGTGTATATATACTGAGATCATGTGACACTTAGATTGCACACAGGTGGACTTTATTGAACTAATAATGTGACTTCTGAAGGTAATTGGTTGCACCAGATCTTATTTAGGGGCTTCATAGTAAAGGGGGTGAATACATATGCACGCACCACTTTTCCGTTATTTATTTTTTAGAATTTTCTGAAACAAGTTATTTTTTTCATTCCACTTCACCAATTTGGACTATTTTGTGTATGTCCTTTACACGAAATTCAAATAAAAATCAATTTAAATTACAGGTTGTAATGCAACAAAATAGGAAAAAACGCCAAGGGGGATGAATACTTTTGCAAGGCACTGCATAACCCCGTATATATACCCTTAGTCTCTTGGGGCATTCATTGGGACCTCTTCATCTGCGGACAGGCTTTCACAGCTCTCCGTATCAGAGGACAGAAAACATCACAAAGAAAAACAGGCTTCATTATACAAAAATCAGACAGGCACTGAATATGATGTTGCTATTATCTCTCTGTCCTAATAGTTTCCCTTACAAGGGACTGGAACTGGATGTCCTCCCACAAAATTACCTGCCCTATCCAGTAGCCAACTCTCTCCCTTCTCTGACAGCTGGAGCTGCAGTCCTTTCACCCTCTTCCATGGCATCTACAAATGCATTTGGAGCTTGTGGTTTCCCTTACAATGATAAATACGTCAAGATAGCTAGCTAATAGGAAGTTAGCTAGCGGATGATATTTGATTCACTCAGCTACACAGCAGTGGCGGTCGGTACCGTTTAAGATGAGGGAGGATGATTATTTCTATAAAGAGCATTGTCTTAGTTCTATTACAGCATATTGGATGACTGACATTCATATTCCATTCATCCAGCTCAATGTAACATCGATAGGTTTAGGCTACTACATGATACTCACATTTTCCCTATACTCATCATGAGGTTGCTACATCCTAGCCTATGAATGAAAGTTTACAACATAGGTGCACAGGTCGAGAGAAATTTGAGTAATCAAGATGACAGACACATTCAATACCGCCTTGCACACTCTGTTTGTGCCGGGTGTTTGAGTAGGCTAAACTAGCTAGCTGCATTTGCTAGCTAAGTAAGTAAAAGTGAAAAAGAAAAAATGAAATATAGCTGTCTCTCTCTCTCTCTCTTGCTTCTCCTTCATTTTTGAAGAAATTAATTTGTTCAAAACTGTTCAACTATTGTCTTTCTCTCTCTTTGAGTCAACTACTCAACATATTTTATGCTCTGCAGTGCTAGCTAGCTGTAGCTTATGCTTTCAGTACTAGATTCATTCACTGATCCTTTGATTGGGTGCAAGAGCTCTGATAGGTTGGAGGACGTCCCGAAATTTGTCATCATTACTGTGTAAGTCTATGGAAAGGGGTGAGAGCCATGAGCCTCCTAGGTTTTGTATTGAAGTCAATGTACCCAGAGGAGGATGGAAACTATCTTAGGAGGATGGTCCTCCCCTTCCTCCTCTGAGGAGCCTCCACTGCTACACAGTAAAGTTAGCTTGCTAGCTAGCAGCTCATACACAGTGGCCTACTGTAGGTAGCTACTAGTTAGCTAGTTAACTAGCTAGCTAATAATAAATAATGTAACATTTCCAGAAGTATTTACTTACATGAATAGATTCTCCCACTGCTTCGTTTTTTTAGGAGCCACAGAAAAACGTATAATCAACAATTTTCCCGGCTTTTCGAAGCTCTGAATAAAAGAGGGCAAGTGTGAGGGGTGAGAAGGAGAAGGAGAAGTGAGGTTTGACTAGAGCACGGGTGATGAATGCCCGCAGCACACCAGCCTGCATCCCACTGCTGGCTTGCCTCTGAAGCTAAGTAGGGTTGGTCCTGGTCAGTCCCTGGATGGCAGACCAGATGCTGCTTGAAGTGGTGTTGGAGGGCCAGTAGCACTCTTCTGAAAAAATGCCCCAGGGCAGTGATTGGGGGTATTGCCCTGTGTAGGGTGCTGTCTTTCAGATGGGACATTAAACAGGTGTCCTGACTCTCTGTGGTCACTAAAGATCACATGGCACTTATTGCGAGAGTAGGGGTGTTCACCCTGTTGTCCTAGCTAAATTCCCAATCTGACCATCATGGCCACCTAATCATCCCCAGCGTCCAATAGGCTCATTCATCTCCCCTCCTGTAACTGTTCCCCAGGTTGTTTCTGTAAATGAGAATGTGTTCTCAGTCAACTTACCTGGTAAAATAAGGGTAAAATAATAAAATGACCAATGCAGGGGTGAGGGAGGAGGGGTAACATTTGACTAGTGCAGGGTTGATGGGGTGGTCCTCTGTAGCTCAATTGGTAGAGCATGGCGCTTGTAACGCCAGGGTAGTGGGTTCGATCCCCGGGACCACCCATACGTAAAAATGTATGTACACATGACTGTAAGTCGCTTATTATTATATTATTTTGATACATGACTAGTTGAGGAGTAGGGGTGATGCTTGACTAGTGCAGGGTTGTGACTTGACTAGGTGAGGAGGAGGAATGACGAAGTTCCTAACATGTATTCCGTACTGGTGGGAAAGTTTGGACTCAGCCTGTCACCTATTTCACAATGGGACAAATACTTCACATTTACTACAGAGTTGCAACTTAAAGCTGGAATCCGTAAAGGGGGAAACAGCGCCACTGTCCGGCCCAGCACCTTTGATATTGTTTTTGTTTTGTTGATAAAATGGAGGAGAGGAGCATCCAGCATTGTGGTCAAAAAAGTTGCAGTACATATTCTGCTGTTCAATCGCGTGTGCAATGATGTCCGAGGGGGAAAAAAAGTAACTTATTTGTTGTAGTAATATCGCAAACAGATGTAGCAGTTTCACAACTACGGATTTCAGTTTTAAAGAGGCAATCTACCGCTACGATTGCTACATAGATTTTTGGACTCTTAAATTCATGATATATACCCATAGATTCTTGAAGGCCTCATGAGGTTGGTTCAACTGTCTTATCCATCAGAACCCAAAATATAAGCTTGTTTTACCCCTCTGTTTGTAAACAACCCAATAGTAAACAAACACTGCATAGCCTCAAAACATGGTTAAGGACTTGATTCAATCTGGATGTGGAAGATTCTTGTTGTAGCGTGATTTAAATATAAAGGTAATTTCCAATTTAGTTGACATATGCAGCTTTTACTGTGAATGCATTCTCCATGAATGAGGGAACATTGCCTTTGACATTTCAATCGCGCTATACTGCGGATCTTCTGCCGTCCGGATTGATAATTTTTATGTCATGGATGGTCAGTCCTTCCATCCATAGCTATGAATTTGAGAGTGGTAACTAATGTCCAGCCCCATCCCTCAGCTATTTACCAAATCAGTGGCAGGGTGACCGCTTTGTTATTGCTTTAACTGCAGATTGCCACACATTATTTCCACCAGTGTCATCTATGAGATTGAGTGGGGAGTTTAGTGCACTCTGAGAACATTGGGTTTTGAACACAATGTCATGAAATGGAGGGTCTACTTCTCTGCAGATTTCAGATGTCTTAATGCAGTCGTTAATGTAGTGAGGTTGATGCTGATGAACTGAGACATAAGTGAAACAGAATCGTTTTCTTACCTTAGCAGAGTGTGATGAATCTGTTTCCTTTACTTTCTCTATCAGGATATTACAACATTGGTTCTACACTACACTCCTTGAAGTAAAGGTGCCTGGAACAACCTTTTGGGGTTAAAAAAATTGCCATGTGTGGAACCTTTCCAGGTCAAAAAGGTTCCACGAGGAACCCCTCTGAAAAGGGTCTTTGAGGAACCCGTGTAAAGGTTCAAACTGAAACCTTTTTGTGATGGGAACAATTCAATTTTTAACCTTTTTAATAACATATTGTAGAGATGGCAGCCTTTCAGAAGATTTGAGGCCTGGCTTATTGGAGTCGTGGCTTTCAGATAGTTATTTTTGGCCACCCGTTAGAGTAAATGTCATTACTCTTCATCATGTTAAGTTTGTACACTGCACATTTCTATTTTCCTTGAATATTTATGCATATTACATATTCTAATATAATATTAAGATTGTTGATTACATAGTAATAAAGTGGTAACTATTCCATCTTTGGAATTTGCTTAGGCTCTTGAGGAACTCAATGAAGCTACAAAACTGTCAGTATTCAACCTTAAAGTGATGACAATACAACAGAACAGATTAACAGGAATGACATTTACTCTAATAGGTTGCCCAAAAAAATCTATCTGAAAGCCACGCCCCTACTAAACCACGCCTCCAGTCCAGGGTTCTTCCAGAAACCCTTTGCTACAAGAACCACTCAACTAACCAAAGGTGCAAATATGAACAATTGACTAGCAATGATTCCTTGATGAACTCCAGGGGTTCCTTGAGGATCTCCAGAGTTTCTCAAGTCACCACAAATTCTAAGAGTGTACTGTACTGCATGTCAAATAGGTTGGGTTATTTCACTTATCTCAACTGTGTCAGACAGTAAAACTGAACTTGCTACAGTGCACTGATATTGGGTCAAATCCTAACTAATGCTCCATGCATTGTTGTCTTCACCGGGATTTCTGTAGACCTTTGCATTAAGTCCTCTGCCATGTGTTTAAACAATCAATTAATCAATCAAACACTTACCTCACACCCAACTGCAGTCAGTGTATGAGAGTGATCTACTGTAAATGTTTAACTCAGGTCGTTATTGCAAAAGAGAATGTGTTCTCAGTGACTTACCTAGTTAAATAAGGGCTGTTGTGTGAGAGATGATCTCTATTGTATATTTCTCCTAATACAAATTCAACAAACATCCCACCGCTTTCTTGATATTGGTCTTCTCAGATGGGAGGGGCCTTTGTTGGGTGTTGCTGCCTGTGCGTGAGGCCCCTCCCTCTTGGAGTACAAGTCTCCTGTCCTGGTAGGCTGTTCCATGAGGAATGAGGAGCTGTATTCTTCAGAACACTTACTTATGCCCTGCTGCTTCCAACTGACGAAGGAAGGTCCACACTCACTCTGAGGTAAGCTAACAGATGTATTCATTCATTCATTCAGAAAAAGACCAGGGGGGATGCATTGTTATCAGCAGGGTAAGATACTGTGTGATACTACTCATTCTGACCTATAATTTTTCTATCCGTCTTTTTGTGTATTGCAGTTCATTTGAGTAATTCAGTGAAAGTAATGTAATAATGATACATTAATAATAACAATACGCTTTATTGCAATTTTGTAATGTCCTTTGAAGTAATACACCTTCAAACCATACTATGTCAAGCTAAGTAAATGTTGAACTTTAAGACATTAACAAAATAGACATGCATGTTTAACTAGGCAAAGAGGTGCAGAAGGACAAGTTTTGTCTTGTTCCCAGCACCACAGCAAGAGACACTGTCATGGTGTGCATGTTCTCATGGAACTCTTTAACTGTAGCAAGTCATGTGAATAAAAACCTAGCTGGGATTGTGCCTTGCTTTGGGGCGGAAACTGCTCAGTAGAGACTGAGAGTAGTGAGGTGCTTGGGGCACAGTGCCAATGGATTGGGGTAGGTCAACATATCACCCTCAGACACTAAAGGCAACATGATACAGTACATAGAAGGCAGCAGTATAATGCATTCTCACTGTTCCTAATGAAGGATTATTGGATAGTTAACCTACTGAATCGATATGAATTCTGCTTCAGTATACACATTTCTCCATGTACGAATGCGCAGGACAGGTAATACACTGTGGTTTGTATTATCTCCATGTAAGAAGATAAAGTGAATGAAACAACGTGTTCTGTATCTGAATTCATTCAAAGCTGTGATTATGTAAGCTCTTTCAAAGCAGGATTTTGTGTATACGTCATTCATATGAAGTATTGACAGTGTATTACCTTTTATTTACTCAGACATCAAAACTATCATCACAAACAGAAGGTGACAGATCAGACTGGGGGCTGTATTCAATCTGTACTGCTGAAGTGTTACAGATTGTGCGATAAATGTAAAGGTATTTTCCGATTCAGCCGACATACATGCAGCGTTTACCATGAATGCAGTCTACGCTAACGTGTGAACATATCCTTTAAATTTCAATCATGCTGTAATGCTGAACTTCTGCGATACGGATTGAATAGAGCCCTGGGTCTCTACAGCCTGTTTAGGAATCAGGCCAATCTACAGTGAATGGGGGCAGTTAGCATAGATGGCATTATAAAGTCCAGGGTGGTGTGTATTATTATCTCTATGTAAGAAGATCAAGTGACTGAAACAAGAATATGTGTTCTGTATCTTAATTCATTCAAATCAGTGATTATGTAAGCTCTTTCAAAGCAGGTAGGCCTATTTGCTTTGTGAGCTCAATTTTGTGTATACTCCATATGGTGTTTGAGGAAGTAAAATAATATATTTGTTGTTGGCTACTTTGTAGTCATCCTTGACATGAGGATGACGTTACACCAGTGGTTACCAAGATGGTCTGAATTAAAAGGCCAGAGGTTAGGAATATAACCTTGAATAAAACTTAAAGACTTTCAAGGCAAAAATGTGGAGTTGAATGTTTTTTTTATTTGGTCAATATTACCACTGCACTACATCACATATCAGATGACTATGCAATTAGAAAAGGTCTACAGCAGGGGTATTAAACTCTTACCCTACAAGTTCCAGAGCCTGCTGCTTTTCTGTTCTACCTGATCATTAATTGCAAGCACCTGGTGTCCCAGGTCTAAATCAGTCCCTGATTATAAGGGAACAATGACAAAATACAGTGGAACTGGTTTCGAGGTCCAGAGTTGGGATTGAGGGGCCTACAGTATCCTTGTAAGAAAGAACAACAGCCTTGTTGTTACTTTAACATTATAAAACATCCCTGACAAGGTGGGAAAATCATCGGATTACCTCTGAGTCTGTGAAAGGCTTCAGCCCTGGAAATAGCTCCCACAGAGTCTTTCATCTCACAAATGACAACTGTGACCAGTGTGTTTGTTCAGAGAGATAAACAGAAACAGTCACTTTATGGCTAAACTAGACCACTGACAGTCCTGTAGCTGATGTCACAACGTGTACGTCCCAAATTGCATCCTACTCCCTGTATAGTGCACTCATTTTGATCAGGGCGTATAGGGCTCTTGTCAAAAGTAGTGCACTATATAGGGAATAGGGTGCCATTTGGGACGCAGCCAACAGGTGATGACACTGACACACAGAAGAATGAGATACTAGTGATATAATTGCTGTATTTATCGACAGTGGTAAACGTGTAATTACTGTGTCATAACGGTTTATAACCACACGTTCTCAAAAAAACAAAAATATTTTTTTTAAAACAGACAGTGTATTCAGTTTATCAACCAGCTAATGATTAGAATCAGGTGTGCTAGATTACAGGGTTGGTGCAGAAACCTACAGGATGGTAACGCTCCAGGAACAGGGTTCAGCTGCCCTGCTTATTGCATTAGGGTTTGTTCAGTCTGTGTAAGACCTGGACAACACAATAAATGTCAAATGTCAAAGGCTAAAACATGCTGTCCTCTGCCCTACAGGAAATGGCATGCAAGTTTGGGACATATCTAGCTTTCCTCTTTCTCCTGGCTAGTCTGGCTGTCATCATTACTATATCTGTGATCCAGGGTCATAAGCGGATCTTTGAGTCACGTCTGAAGGTAAAAACAACAACCACATTCCTGATCCTTCTCTGCTCAAAGAGCTGTATTGACAGTGTAAAGCGTCTGCTAAATGACTAAAATGTAAATGTATTACCTTGTATTTACCCAGACATCAAGACAATCATCACAAACAGAAGGTGACAGATCAGACTGGGTCTCTACAGCCTGTTTAGGAGTCAGGCCAAACTACAGTGAATGGGGGGCAGTTAGCTTAGATGGCATTATAAAGACCAGGGTGGTTTGTATTCAAAGCAGGTTGGTGTTGGGGAAACATTTGATGCGAGTGGGACACACGCAAAAGGAAGGATGAAGGGACACTTGACAAGTTGACTTGATACAGCTTTGGGTAACAGGGTTAATACATTATTTCCTATTAATCAAATGATAAACGTTTAATAACTCTGTGAAATGAAAACCAATAATCTTTAGTCAGCACACCGGGTCTATATAAGAGAAGGGAAAACTCACTTCAACACTGCAGGAACTGAGTCTCTGAGGTTGGTTCAAATAGTATTTGTTTTCTTTCCCCAAACTTTTGCTGTGCTTTATTTAATCTTGCCTGACGCAATGGAATGGTACTAATGGAAGTAGTCTGCAAAAGTGCAAACCCTGCCCATCTGGCACTCCAGGGCAGGTTCAACCACACTCTCAAAGATAGCAAATACTTGGCCCGTTTTAATCCAGGTCTGGGTCTGGAATGTGTATTATTGCTGCCAATGGTGACAGCTAGTCTTACTGGGGTTTGACACATAATGAAAAATACATTTACAATTTACATACATTTAAAAACATTAACATGTAGAGAGCATGTGTGTTTGCATCTATCAGTACATGTCATTACATACACACAAAAAATGCACACAATCAGTCCTTTTGGACAAACTTGAACCAGACTCTAGTTCCAGAGGGCAGAGCAAAACATTTCTATGTATTTGTCTTTATGCCTGAGTGAGGGTTTCCTGTTCTTACAGAGTAGCTGCATTTTGTTATGTATTCATGTTCTGTCCCTGTTGTCAGCTTTATGGAAGTAATAATCATACCATAATGGAGTGCAATCATTATGCTTATAATATATATAATAATAATATGCCATTTAGCAGACGCTTTTATCCAAAGCGACTTACAGTCATGCGTGCATACATTTTTTTTTGTGTATGGGTGGTCCCGGGGATCGAACCCACTACCTTGGCGTTACAAGCGCCGTGCTCTACCAGCTGAGCTACAGAGGACCATGCTTCTAGCCAATCAGGAGTCGAGTGCAATAATTGTGTAATAATTGTGAGGTATTTGATGGACTGTACTTTAGGAGATAGTGATTGTTTATCATAACATAAATTATTGCCTTTCATTATACAACAATTATGTGTGTGCCACTGCATAATTTATTGATCTAATAGTCCTCCTACTCTTGGACAACAGACAAGAGTATGTTTTCTCTCCTTAGGTTCAGATCCATTATAGCTGTATCAGTTGACTTTTCTGTATACAGTATACAGGTGTACGATCTTAATTTGACCAGTTTCGTCGCAGGAGTAAAATAATCCTGCAGCAGGAGGATTTGATTATTCCCCCCAAAAAAGTGATCATTTCTAACGGGAAATTGGTTTTGATAGGCTAGAGTAGGCTATAATTTAGGTGTAGTCTACAGTTGCATTCGGATACACGTGTATGTCGTAGTAGAGTTCAATATCTGTCTTGTGTTATTAAGCTATATAAAACAACGGTTGTGTATGGCTGCATTTCAGATTTTTTTTTTTACATTTGAATGTCGCAGCAGTAGGACCTACAGTAGTAGGACATTTATTGGTGCTTTAGCGTTTGAGCGAGAGAGAAAGAGAACTGTGGGTTTTCAGTGAATTAATGTAAATCACAAGGCTCATTTGAATTTCCTGCGGCACAGGAAAATTCTAAGCGACGACAAAGTGATCAAATTAAGATAAAACATCTGTATATGAACTAGCATCTTGGATATGTGGTGTGATTTTCCTGCTCTCCTCTGTTTGCAGTATGGCATAGTAATCGACTCAGGCTCCTCCCGCTCTACTGTGTATCTGTATCAATGGCCAGCCGAGAAGCAAAATAACACTGGAGTGGTGAGCCAGACACTCAGATGCATGGTCACTGGTGAGTCTGCATGTTTAATTTTATTTTTAAACCCTCTTCGGAGGACAAAAGTAACTTTATTTTCACAGCTATTTTGTGATACATGTGGATACATAGTACTGAGACATATCCGGTGTACATGATAGTGTTTTCGGTCCTAACTATTATAGAGCATGAGCTTTTAATCCCTCCCCTCTGCTACTCTCAGCCCATCCCACCTATCCCCGTAGACCATCCTCTCTTGATTTCCATGTGACATATATTTTTCAACTGCGCTGTGATGTCTTACATTAATTCTGAACCTTTCCAATCACATTGTATCCACAAATTGTAAGCTAAAGATTAATATTTTATATTGCTGATATATTGAATATTGCTTTCCAAATCGTCCAATGGTTCAATTTGTAGGGTTAATTTTAGATGAATGCTGTGATTTCTTCAGCCACTCCTGAACCTGTGACCACAACAAGCTACATGGGGGCAATACCAGAATAAATTATCTAATGATTCTGCCTTTTCGTAGCTAAATCTACAGAGCTGAGATGGTTGTATGCCCCATATACTGTATATACTGTAACATTCTGTTGATGGCAAGAATGTGGTAAAATAATTTACATTTAAAAACTGAGTCTGCATGTTCATAATGAGATGCAGTGTCACTGGTGAGTCTGCATCGTAATGTGATGAACCCGACACATTCTTACACATGTCACAATCTTGTCCTCATCTTTTTTTATGAAGATTCCATAATACATGACTTTTTGCAAAAGGACTTGCATGTTAAATGCACTTATCATCATACAGCCTTTCAGTACTGTGTCATACTCCTTGATATATACTATGTTAAAGGAAAATTCTGCCACTTCTAAACCTCATATTCATAATCTCCAGCACCAACTAGTGTCTACATATGTGAAAACAGCATATTTCTATTATATGTGGAAAGGTCCTAAAAGAATGCTTATCTGTGATATCACAGTGTAGGATTAAAAGTAAAAACAGTGATTTTCAAAACCAGCAACCTAATTTTCTAGCCCAAGGGAGGGTATTTTCTTGCTCCCCCTGTCACCACGAATCTCATAAGCTGTGTTCGAATACCTATACTAACATACTGTATACTACATACTTAATGAGTATATGCTACATACTATAAACTATTAGTTCATTTTAGTATGCTGTAAACGAACGGTATCATTTCAGTTGAGCGTACTAGCGCTTCGCCTGTCTACCGGAAGTTTTGATGCTGTTGCTATGCAACCTCTTGCTAGCTTCTTAGCATAACAAATGACTAGCTAGACATTTTATGATTTCGGGTGTGTTCATAAATTCAATCTGGAGTGCCAGAGTGCGCTCTGGGCGTTCGTAACTCCAGAGCATTGTCAGATTTTCCGTTCGTAAATTCAGAGCATTTCGCTCTCGGAGCGTTCAGAGCGCACACTGGAAGCTCTTGCCGAGGAGCAGAGTTGATCGGAGCGTTCTGACCTCACAACGGCAGTCAAGCACCCAAGCTAACTGGCTAACGTTGGCTAGCTTGCTAGCTACTTCCAGGTACAAATGAGAGAACACCACACTCTGACCATTTTACTCACCCTAGCAGAGCTGGTTAGGCTGTTTTCATGTTATCCAGAGCGTTGGTGACTGTAACGGTGCTGCTGGCAACAATTTAATTGTGCTTTTTTTGCTGACGTTTACTGACACCGGCCATATTCAACGGGTGTTGAGCATTCGTAAATTCATCAGTTATTAAACACCGGCCATATTCAACGGGTGTTGAGCGTTCGTAAATTAATCAGTTATTCTGCGCTCGTGCACACTGTAATAAATGCTATTTTTATAAACAGCTTATTGCTATTAATTTGCTATAACTAATTCCTTTTTCCAAGACAAGTTTTGACCACACACACACACTTGCCACAGATGCACTGACACCCATAGACTAACACAAGACAAGATAATTAAACGCACACACCAAATCTTTACTCTGCTGAAACATTCGGAACAAAGGGCCTGAGCTACAGTGTGTAGATCTCCTAGACCCAATCACAGAGGACGACGCCCGAGCAGCATGGACCAACCAGAAGACCAGATCTGCCAGACTCAACCTACTTTACAAACAGTATAAAACATATGTGTACTGTTTTTTGGCGCTTTTTTCTGGAGGTTCCCTATGAGCTGAAAGAACGAGACCGTGCACATTTTGTACCAGACATTTTTACTCTGAATAAACTGCCGCTTGTCATACAATTTACCACCTAGTCTGAATCGATCCTTGACCGGCTCACCCTTCTTCATATCCCGTTATCAACAACACTCAGAAGAGAGGGCTCTGAAATCAGAGTAGATAGCCAGAATTAACAATGTCCATTGAGGACGCACAATGACTATACCACTTAGCTAAGAATGACGTGAATAATCAAGTCAATAAACATTGGGTAGTTAGTTAGATAGCATGTAGTTAATAAACTGCCTGGCAAGTTCGATGTATTAGTAGCCAACCTACGTTAGGTAACTAGCTAACATACCGGTATGTACAGTGGTTTGCGAAAGTATTCACCCCCCTTGGCATTTTTTCTATTTTGTTGCCTTACAACCTGGAATTAAAATGGATTTTTTGGGGTTTGTATCATTTGATTTACACAACATGCCTACCACTTTGAAGATGCAAAATATTTGTTATTGTGAAACAAACAAGAAATAATACAAAAAAACTGAAAATACTGCAATGCTATTCTGCATAACTGCATAACTATTCACCCCCCAAAGTCAATACTTTGTAGAGCCACCTTTTGCAGCAATTACAGCTACAAGTCTCTTGGGGATATGTCTCTATAAGCTTGGCACATCTAGCCACTGGGAATTTTGCCAATTCTTCAAGGCAAAACTGCTCCAGCTCCTTCAAGTTGGATGGGTTCCGCTGGTGTACAGCAATCTTTAAGTCATAACACAGATTCTCAATTGAATTGAGGTCTGGGCTTTGACTAGGCCATTCCAAGACATTTAAATGTTTCCCCTTAGGGTCATTGTCCTGCTGGAAGGATGCAACAAAATAGTAAAAATGTCAAGGGGGATGAATACTTTTGCAAGGCACTGTACTGCTGTAATGCTATGCTGTTCATAAGGATAGCATAGCTAACAAATTGTCAGCCAACATAACGTAACTTATTTGAAAAGTCATTACTTTATTACATTGCTCTACATTTTCTTAACATTTGTCATAATTAGTAAAAGCAATGAATTTGTATCCACTCTCGTGGGACTTCGGCTGTATATTTCCCCCCATTTTCTTCAAATCTGAAAACGTTCTGAAGCCTCGCCCATTTTCGGAACAATTGCATTATGGGCCCTAAAAGTACGGGAATAGTATCCACTGCTTGTATACTTCGTATTTTGGTGAATTTAGTACGATATCCGGAAACTTTTGGCATACTAACTATATCCATACTATGACCAAAAAGCATACTACATACTCAATTTACATCACAAATAGTACTGTTAGTGCTGTGAACACAGCTATAGTGTTTTGAAAATCACTGATTTTAAAATGGTTTAACTTTTGAATGATGTCATCGGGGAGAACTTTTTAACTTTAATTTTTTTTCTAAAAAACTTAGAAATGTACAGTTTTCACAAATGTTGACACTGGTATTGTGCTGGAGATAATGAAAATGAGGTTGAAAGTGGTGGAGTTGCCCATTATGCATCTGGTGTAAAAGCACTATAAATATAATCCAGTTTTGTTTAGTGATGCAGTCTAGCTATCTAGCGCATCATTTCCTTGTGACTTTGAGAATAGGTATTGTATGACTCTGAGCTCAGTCTGATTTGAGTCCCCAGGTCCTGGTATCTCGGATATGTTAGTTGACGATGCACAGGACAAACAGTCCTGGGTGTCGATCAAAGAATGTATGAACAACATCACAAAAATCGTCCCTGCAGACCAACACAATTCAACCATCCTCTACCTTGGGGCAACTGCTGGGATGAGGCTGCTACAGTGAGTTGTGGTTTTGTCTTCCTCCTGTGTGAGTGTACCTCACCAATCCTCCAGGTATGGACCTATCTCTGTTGTTGCACTTCTGGGAATGGATCCATGGTAGATACAAAAGTAGTCATGTGTGCATGCACACACATACTGATCCCACACACAGAATACTAATAGGGTTAATACCATATTTAATCAACCTACTGTAGGCCTATTATTTACATTTTACATTTACATTTTAGTCATTTAGCAGACGCTCTTATCCAGAGCGACTTACAGTTAGTGAATACATATTTTTTTTATACTGGCCCCCCGTGGGAATCGAACCCACAACCCTGGCGTTGCAAACGCCATGCTCTATCAACTGAGCTACATCCCTGCAGGCCATTCCCTCCCATACCCTGGACGACGCTAGGCCAATTGTGCGCCGCCCATGAGTCTCCCGGTCGCGGCCGGCGGCGACAGAGCCTGGACACGAACCAGGATCTCTAGTGGCACAGTTAGCACTGCGATGCAGTGCCTTAGACCACTGTGCCACTCTCTAAATTCCCTACTGGACTGTGAATAATATATAACCTCAACATGTATCTCTCTTTTGTTTACAAGTTCACAGAATGAATCAAAATCCAATGAGATCTTAAGGAACCTGCAGAACTACCTCCAATCTCTGCCGTTTAACTTCCAAAATGCCTCCATCATGTCAGGACACGATGAGGGGCTGTACGGCTGGATCACCGTCAACTACCTGATGGGAAACTTCCTGGAGGTACGGTACATTACAATTTTACATTAACTTCAAAACCTTTACAATTACTTTAGAATTACCTAAATAAGTCTTAGGCATATGCATATGTACTGATGTGTGGGTAACTGTCAGTAATGTGTGTAACTGTCAGTTGGACCTTTTTATGGTTCTATTGTTCTTATGTTAAATGTGTGTAGTCCTTGAGCTGTTCTTGTCTATTGATGTTCTGTATTATGTCATGATTTATGTTTTGTGTGGAACCCAGGAAGAGTAACTGCAGCTTCAGCAACAGCTAATGGGGATCAAAAATAAATAAAGAATAATGTTGCCTTGATGACAGCTTTGCACACTCTTGGCATTCTCTCAACCAGTTTCACCTGGAATGCTTTTCCAACAGTCTTGAAGGAGTTCCCACATATGCTGAGCACTTGTTGGCTGCTTTTCCTTCACTCTGTGGTCCGACTCATCCCAAACCATCTCAATTTGGTTGAGGTCGGGGGATTGTGGAGGCCAGGTCATCTGAAGCAGCACTCCATCACTCTCCTTCTTGGTAAAATAGCCCTTACACAGCCTGGAGGTGTGTTGGGTCATTGTCCTGTTGAAAAACAAATGATAGTCCCACTAAGCCCAAACCAGATGGGATGGCGTATCGCTGCAGAATGCTGTGGTAGCCATGCTGGTTAAGTGTGCCTTGAATTCTAAATAAATCATACACAGTGTCACCAGCAAAGCACCCCCACACCATAACACGTCCTCCTCCATGCTTTACGGTGGGAAATACACATGCAGAGATCATCCGTTCACCCACACCGCGTCTCACAAAGACACGGCGGTTGGAACCAGAAATCTCCAATTTGGACAGATTTCCACCGGTCTAATGTCCATTGCTCGTGTTTCTTGGCCCAAGCAATCTCTTCTTATTATTGGTGTCCTTTAGTAGTGGTTTCTTTGCAGCAATTCAACCATGAAGGCCTGATTCATGCAGTCTCCTCTGAACAGTTGATGTTGAGATGTGTCTGTTACTTGAACTACTTGAACTATGTGAAGCATTTATTTGGGCTGCAATTTCTGAGGCTGGTAACTCTAATGAACTTATCCTCTGCAGCCGAGGTAACTCTGGGTCTTCCATTCCTGTGGCAGTCCTCTTGAGAGCCAGTTTCATCATAGCGCTTGATGGTTTTTGCGACTGCACTTGAAGAAACTTTCAAAGTTCTTGAAATGTTCCGTATTGACTGACCTTCATGTCTTAAAGGAATGATGCATTGTCCTTTCTTTTTGCTTATTTGAGCTGTTCTTGCCATAATATGGACTTGGTCTTTTACCAAATAGGGCTATCTTCTGTATATCCCCCCTACCTTGTCACAACACAACTGATTGGCTCAAACGCATTAAGAAGGAAAGAAATTCCACAAATTAACTTTTAAGAAGGCACACCTGTTAATTGAAATGCATTCCAGGTGACTACCTCATGAAGCTGGTTGAGAGAATGCCAAGAGTGTGCAAAGCTGTCATCAAGGCAATGGGTGGCTATTTGAAGAATCTCAAATATAAAATAGATTTTGATTTGTTTAACACTTTTTTGGCACAGCTGTCTTTTTTTTTTGGTTCCCTAAATGGAACTGGTATACAGTGGGGAGAACAAGTATTTGATACACTGCCAATGTTGCAGGTTTTCCTACTTACAAAGCATGTAGAGGTCTATAATTTTTATCATAAGTACACTTCAACTATGAGAGACGGAATCTAAAACAAAAATCCAGAAAATCACATCGTATGATTTTTAAGTAATTAATTTGCATTTTATTGCATGACATAAGTATTTGATACATCAGAAAAGCAAAACTTAATATTTGGTACAGAAACCTTTGTTTGCAATTACAGAGATCATATGTTTCCTGTAGGTCTTGACCAGGTTTGCACACACTGCAGCAGGGATTTTGGCCCACTCCTCCATACAGACCTTCTCCAGATCCTTCAGGTTTTGGGGCTGTCGCTGGGCAATACAGACATTCAGCTCCCTCCAAAGATTTTCTATTGGGTTCAGGTCTGGAGACTGGCTAGGCCACTCCAGGACCTTGAGATGCTTCTTACGGAGCCACTCCTTAGTTGCCCTGGCTGTGTGTTTCGGGTCATTGTCATGCTGGAAGACCCAGCCACGACCCATCTTCAATGCTCTTACTGAGGGAAGGAGGTTGTTGGCCAAGATCTCGGGATACATGGCCCCATCCATCCTCCCCTCAAAACAGTGCAGTCGTCCTGTCCCCTTTGCAGAAAAGCATCCCCAAAGAATGATGTTTCCACCTCCATGCTTCACGGTTGGGATGGTGTTCTTGGGGTTGTACTCATCCTTCTTCTTCCTCCAAACACGGCGAGTGGAGTTTAGACCAAAAAGCTCTATTTTTGTCTCATCAGACCACATGACCTTCTCCCATTCCTCCTCTGGATCATCCAGATGGTCATTGGCAAACTTCAGATGGGCCTGGACATGCACTGGCTTGAACAGGGGGACCTATTGTGCACTGCAGGATTTTAATCCATGACGGCGTAGTGTGTTACTAATGGTTTTCTTTGAGACTGTGGTCCCAGCTCTTTTCAGTCATTGACCAGGTCCTGCCGTGTAGTTCTGGGCTGATCCCTCACCTTCCTCATGATCATTGATGCCCCACGAGGTGAGATCTTGCATGGAGCCCCAGACCGAGGGTGATTGACCGTCATCTTGAACTTCTTCCATTTTCTAATAATTGCGCCAACAGTTGTTGCCTTCTCACCAAGCTGCTTGCCTATTGTCCTGTAGCCCATCCCAGCCTTGTGCAGGTCTACAATTTTATCCCTGATGTCCTTACACAGCTCTCTGGTCTTGGCCATTGTGGAGAGGTTGGAGTCTGTTTGATTGAGTGTGTGGACAGGTGTCTTTTATACAGGTAACGAGTTCAAACAGGTGAAGTTAATACAGGTAATGAGTGGAGAACAGGAGGGCTTCTTAAAGAAAAACTAACAAGTCTGTGAGAGCCGGAATTTTTACTGGTTGGTTGGTGATCAAATACTTAAGTCATGCAATAAAATGCAAATTAATTGCTTAAAACTCATACAATGTGATTTTCTGGATTTTTGTTTTAGATTCCGTCTCTCACAGTTGAAGTGTACCTATGATAAAAATTACAGACCTCTACATGCTTTGTAAGTAGGAAAACCTGCAAAATCGGCAGTGTATCAAATACTTGTTCTCCCCCCTGTATATATATATGTTTTCATCCAAAAATAATTTTAGCAATTTTGGTCTTCAATGCAGGGCCGACAGACAAGTTCCTTAGCTTCTACAATGATTATAATAAGATTGTTTTGCGGCTCTATATTGAACCTTTTTGAGGGCCATGTATGAAGCAAGCCATAGAACCCTTCAATATGGGACCATTTCTTCTAGCAGTGTAGGGTTTTTTTAGCAGAATGCATTTATCACAATACAGTACAGTTCTTATCATTGTGTTACATAAAGATCATCATTGTTTCGAAAAAAATCTATCCTCTGTTTTGTAGAGAAACATATGGAACATGTGGGTGCGGCCTGCCGGAGGGAAGATGGTGGGCTCCATGGATCTAGGAGGGGCGTCCACCCAGATAGCCTTCACCCTCCCAGATCCCAACGCCCGGGGAAAAGACATCGTACAGGTCTCCCTCTATGGCTACGAATACAACATCTACACTCACAGCTTCCTGTGTTATGGGAAGAACGAGGCAGAGAAGAGAGTCCTCGCTGCTTTAGTGAAGGTACTGTATAAAGGAAATCTTGGTTTACTTAAAATAGTATTTGTTTTTTACCAAATACCTGATTGGTCATGCCTGGAGTACTAGATGGGCTGGGTTTGGAGTTTTGGGACTATTCCAGCTGTAAATTAGTTGAAAGAAAATAAATACTATTTGAACCCAGAATCTGTTATGATGTCATTGCTCACATTCGTTCCTGGCAGCTTTGTCAACATGATGATGATGATGCTTTTATACTTAGCTGTCTTTTTTTGTGTAATTAATGCAATCCATCTGTCTAAGTCCACAACATCCATTTATATCTAATTACCACATCCTAAGAAATCTGAGGACACCTCATTACCTTGACACTTTACTGTCTCTTGGACATGAGGCAAAGTGCATTATGGTATTAACTGTATTGATCTGTCCATTTCTATATGGTTTGTTTTGCAAGCTTGGTCGAAAAGTGTCTGTTTTACTAGGATGGTAGATAATGCATTCACAACTGAAGACAACTATTTTGAGTAGACAACAGTGATAATAACGGTCCCACTTTACTTATAGTTGTTCTTATACCTGTGTAGCCTAGTAACGCTGTAACTACTACAGTAGAAAAGAGGTTCAAGCTCAGCTATTGATCCTTCGGATTCCTTCTTCATGAATGTTAAAGGGACATACTGTAAATACTTTAACTGTACTCTCTTTGTCTCACTGATCAGAACTCTGAGAACGCTACACATGTGACCAACCCCTGCTTCAATCTTGGTTACAACATGTCTGTGTCGGCTGAGTCCATCTTTGGGACTGAGTGCATAGATACACCTGCCGACTACGACCCCAAGCTGATGATCACGCTGAAGGGGTCATCAGACAACGTAGCTTGTAGGGACGTGGTGCAATCCATATTTGACCTGACCTCCTGCACGAACTGTTCCTTTAACGGAGTCTACCAACCATCCGTGGGACCCGGGGACTTTCTGGTACGCACATGCGCACTCACACGCGCACGCACACACGCACACACGCACACACACACACACACACACACACACACACACACACACACACACACACACAAACACACAGACTGTATATATAGGGCATATTTTGCAGTTATCCAATAAATATTGTGTCTGTCTGACCCGGGGACTTTCTGGTACACACACGCACAGACAGACAGACTGTATATATAGGGCATATTTTGCAGTTATCCAATAAATATTGTGTCTGTCTGAGCACCTAACCCATGTTCCCTCCCATAGGCCTATGCTGGGTTCTTCTACACTGCTCAGGCTGTCGGGCTGAAAGGCATTTCACAACTGGACCAGTGGAACTCCTCTACCTGGGAATTCTGCTCCTGGGACTGGCCCACCGTGAGTCCATGTTGTTGTTGTAGTTGTTATAGTGGTCGTTGTTGTTGGTGGTGGTGGTAGTGGTCATTCTGCTCCATGGACTGGCCGACTGGGAGTTCTTTTACACTGACAGCTACTGATGTAGGATCTTAATTTGAGCCAGTTTTCTACAGCAGAAAATAATCCTGCAGCAACAGGAAATGTGAATTATTATGTGGATTATAATTAATGCTATTTTTTGTAGGGGTTTATACATTTCTTGTTAGGACAAATCAGGTCTGGAATTTCAAAGTGGAAATGACTAACTTTAGAAACCTTTTTAAAACTCAAATACACTACAAAAGAGTGATTAAATTAAGATCCTACATCTGTATAGCAATTTTCACATGTATAGCTGTGACAGAGAAGAGCTTGACATTAGCTAAAATAAGGGTAAGAATAGATGTAAAATATGAGTAAATATAAGTTATATTTAATGATGTGGGGTAAGCTCTCTCAACCTGAGAAAAAGTGGCCATGCATTCCATGACTATTGGGATCTGTAGGTATATAAAAAAGAGGACAACAGGTCAACTGTACTGAACCATCTGAGGTTCATTTATGAGGACCTTTCCTGGGTGGTGTTTCAAATGGAACTACACACAGACAACAGAGGCATCTTTTGTAAGACAGGGGTGCTTTCCAACAATTATCTAGGCTATTGCAATGTATTATTAGAAATGTATCATTAGAAGAAATTATTAGAAAATTGCCTCAACACATGGAAAATGTAATGGATAGACAAATGGAGTGTTTGTTTTTTGTCTTATTTTTTAGCTCAAGCTAAAAAAGGGCTGGATAACTGAAAAATACAGAAAGTCCTACTGCTATTCAGCACATTACGTCCAGACGTTACTTGTAAATGGCTACAAGTTCAATAAAGACACTTGGAAACACATTGACTTCCAAAAACAGGTAAGTGTGGCAGAATACAGCCAGGTACCTTGGAGGATCCAAACACGTGCTTCCAAATGAAAGTGCAAAAATTGTAGTTTGTAGTTACTATCAAATGTTTTTATGGTCTTATACTGTACTGCAAAAAGATAAACATTCAAGTGGAAAGTGACTAATTCCATTGGAAACCAATATAAATGGTGGATATACTATCATTAACAGAGGCCAAGATCGTGACAAGGAAGAGGCTAGAATCATTTCATATGCCCCAAGAAAATGGAACTTGTGATGGAAGTCCAGACTGGAACCTCCAGCTGAAGTCTTTCAGTCTGTTAGACTCAATGAAGTGTAACATGAAGTCATTCTTTCAAAATCAAAGCACAACACAGACTGGTTACAGTAGCTTGTTTGACATGATGAAAAATGGGGGATTTGTCCCCCAAGATGACGATTCTCTGTTTTTCATTCTTACAAACAAGCGAGATATTGTCTCTCTGTGCTTTGTGTTTTGGGTGTCAGGAGAAATTGATGACCTTTGTCCAATCATCAGAGGGGGTTGAAAGACTTGACTTCTTCAGTGGAAGGAAAGACAGAGTTTAGAGTCATTTTCCCCCTGGGGGGCATAGTTTGCCTCAATTATTTATAAACGGCAAACGTTCTTCCAACTTGTAATGTTCATTATGCATCGTTGTCTTTCAGCCTTTTCCAATAGACTATATATATTTTTTTATTCTCTCTGATGATTCCCATTGATGTTAAAAAAGCAGGCAGGTCACCCATGACACAAGTCAGTATTCGACTTCCATCCATGTCTGAGGACGTCGGGAGATGACGTGGAAACTGGCCACTAGGGGCAACAGTGAGCGCTGTTACCTTCAAGTAGGTTTCGGTTTTGCTAGGGTGTTGTGGACAGGGATGGCGGATGGGCATAAGCATCTATAACGTCAAAATATGACGTTTGAGAAACATGGATGAACGTCTAATTCTGATGTGAGACTGTGAGAGCTTGTAGCAAAAAATATGTGATAGAGGATGCCAGAATTGGGAAAAGGGTCAGGATTTCTGAACTCCAAATCGACCACTAGCCCCTACTCACCTGCCACTCATGTAGATCAGAGAGGATTGGATAGGTGGAAGCAGTAAGGAGATATTTCCACCTAGCCAATCAGAAAGTAATATGAAGCTATTGACATAATGCTTATACTGTATCCATCCAATCCTATCAGATCTAATGTAGTGCCTAGGATGTAGGGGCTAGGTGACAATTTGGAATTGAGCAATAATCTGTTTTAAGTCTGTTCGTCCCATAAATCTTGTTCATCCCATAGGCTGGGGTGTAGGAGATAGGGATCTATAGGTGTGCAGTGAAGCATTTGAGATTTTGCAAAGATTGGTTTAAGCTTCAACTAAATAAACAGAGACAATGCATTCCATGACTATTGGGATCTGTAGGTACGTAAATAAGGAGAACAGGTCAGTAGTGTTGAACCATCTGGAGTTAATTTATGAGGACCTCTGTCTTCACTCTGTCTTGTACGTCCCCTATGGTGTAAACAGTGGTATTCAAAGGCGGGGTCGCCAAATTTAAAACGTTTTTAAAATTAAGAGTACATACTCTTTAAAAAAGTTATGTAATCAACGGCCAATATTAACTTTTTTAATTGGGTCTATGACAGTTTATTTCAAATCAAGTCCGACAGTTCTTCAATCTGAAGGAAGTATAGTTTGAAGGTGACTGAATTGCATCAGAAAGGTATTGGGAGGTTCAGAAGATCAGTAGGCAATAATGTTGTATGATGTTCTGTGTAGAAAAGAACACATCATTGATGTTTATTTCCCCCCAGTCTGATTTAGTGCCTGGTCTTGTCCACTCTGTTCTAATTAGGCTTGTGGACATTGTAGAGTGAACCAGACACGTAGGTGTCCCTGAGAGTCTCATCTTTCAGTGATGAGGTCATAATATTTTGTAGCTTAAATGGTTCAAAAGATAGAGCCACATGTGTAGGCAGAAAAAAGAAACCACTCTGTTTATTACAACCGCATCTAGCGACTAGCGACACCGGTTTAGTTTCACTCGCGACCCCATTTTCAAATCAGGCGATCCCTAGTTTGGGAAACACTTGTCTGTTTTAAGTGAGTCTGTATGTCTTCAAACTGTCTTGTCAATCCTCTACTGTGTGGGGCGCCCCCTAGGGCTCGGCAGGGGGCCGCGGGGATAAAATGACCCGAGTGAAAACGTTTAGGAACCCCTGCTCTACGGTATAGGGGCTAGTGGTCAGTAGTCTGTTTTAAGTGAGTCTCTGTCTGTCTCTCTTTACGCTGTCTCTCTGTCCCCTCCAGGTACATAACACGAGTGTAGGCTGGAGTCTGGGATACATGCTACATACATCCAACATGATCCCTGCTGAGGCCAAGCTGGTGCGTCTCCCCATTGCCAACTCTTTGTTCGGTGGCCTCCTCTTCCTTTTCACCGCCCTCACCATCGTCAGTGTCATGTTCCTGATCATCAAGGCTGTGCGCGCCTGCTACTGACCCCCACTAGAGAGCAGTGTGTTGAAATTACAGTTACGCCTAGGGTTGCAAAATTCCAGTTACTTTACCAAAATGTGGTTTTCCAGAATTCCCGGTTGGAATATTCCTGGAATCAGGAGGGAATGAGCAGGAATTCTGGGAATCCTCCAACCGGGATTTCTAGAAAACCTGGGAATTTTGTGAAAAGTTACAGTAATTTTGCAACCCTAGTTACACCGGATGGAGGAAAGTGCTTCTGGCCTCCACCTGGTCCCACCCAGACACAGTTACAGCAGGCAACAATAGAACACAGACAGGTGCGAGATATTATCATCATCAGTTAAAGAGATTGAACAGGATCTTAAAGCCCACATGCAGTCTTATTCATTTTATTTTTAAATCATCACTATATGTCTAATAAATCACTATGTGTGTTTATTTAATGAAAATAACTCCAAATATATTTGTTATTATTTATTTCCCTGAGCCTCCTTTTGCCATTGAAAAGCTCAGTCTGATCGTGTGGGCGTGTTGATAAATATATTTACATACACAGCCCTGATTGGAGGATACATATGCAAATAAAAGTAGACTGGTCATTGGTAAAAATAATCAGATCAGATTGTGATGTTATGCTGTTTTGTTGTGTAAAACTCCATCCCACCTGAACAGTGTTGTTTTGACCTCATAGAGTAGAAATATCATTTTTAAAAACTGGAAAATCACGTTTTGACTGCACTGCCCCTTTAAGCACTTACAAATGCATAACATATTGTACAAATTGGAATTCGTAAGATATCATATGCATTGCAGGGGAATTGAAAAAAAAACATTTTGCAAGAGGTATCATATCATACGAAATGGATAACATTGTACACAATTGTGTACAATTTTCGGGGTATTTTGGGGTACTTTCAAAACTAATGGCTGCAATTATATAAAACATAAAATGCATCTTAAGCTGTTTAAAGGATCTCCATTCCATGTGTTTGTTTGAGTGTTTTCAGTGAGAAGATACACTTGAGGGTCAGTAATGCATTATAAGATCTTGTTCTGTGCTTTAGGCTCATCCCAAACATACAAGTGAGACAATTCTAAGAGATTCAGTGACTTAAAGTATGATAAAAGGGAAGCATTAACTGCATAATGAACTGTTGAGCAAAAATGATCGCAGTTTGCAGTAAGTCATCAGCTATACAGTACTGTAGATCAGGAGGTTGAATGAAGGTTGAAGGTAGACACCTGAAATGACTCTAGCTACAATCTCTTAATTGCATATTTTGCTGGATGGCATGGCATTATCGGTTATGTGGTCATCTACCTCTGAGATCTTGCATGTTTCTCGTCTGATGTACTATATCAGCAAATACTTGTCATTCAGTAATTTTTGTTGGTTGAAAGTCCCATATTACCAATAAACTGAACATTACCCATGATGTTATCATCTCCGGACTCCAGCTAGTTATATCTGTTTCCTGCCTCTTCTTTACCTTACCTAGCCTACTTCCCCCTGTTTTCCGATTCTCCACACTTCTCTCAAAGCGTGCACTTCAGGAGAAGGGTGGAGTATTGGGATGCAATTTCCTTTTTTCTCCGTTTTTGACCGCAAGTCAATGTGTCCTAGGTCAACAGCTACCAGAAGGGGGCAGTCCTTGACCATAAAGATTTACCTAGTGAGCCAAGAATTGACATCCGTTGTCCGTTGTCTTTTAATCCGTTCATTGTTGAAAAGCACCTAATCTTCAGAGACATCAAACAGTGTGTTCTTCATCTCTGAAGAGGATATAACCCTATGGGACAGTTTCCCAGACACAGATCAAGCCTAGTGCTAGACTAAACATCACTTTCAATGGAGATTAGGTCTATCCATTGAGCATGTTTTTTAGTCCAAGACTAGGCCTAATATTTGTCCAACAAAATAGCCCTATTTGTTATTAGTGAAGGTTATAGACCTAATTGGTAAGTGATCTCTGTTAAATCTGTCCCCTGTGACTTCTTTGCCAGGGGATGGATAGTGAGCCTAATGCTTAAAAATTCAAGCACATTTCAAAGTGGATAAAAAGCAACATTAATTCGTTTTTCTTGGTCTGGTTCTTATCATTTAATGCCCTCATCCATCAAGGCTATGGGCGTGTCTGTTATTCAAATTAGGCTTCATGACATTTAAAAACGTGTTCTGCAATTTCAAGGCGCCTGTCTCCAATATACAGTGAGGGAAAAAAGTATTTGATCCCCTGCTGATTTTGTACGTTTGCCCACTGACAAAGAAATTATCAGTCTATAATTTTAATGGTAGGTTTATTTGAACAGTGAGAGACAGAATAATAACAAAAGTCCAGAAAAATGCATGTCAAAAATGTTATAAATTGATTTGCATTTTAATGAGGGAAATAAGTATTTGACCCCCTCTCAATCAGAAAGATTTCTGGCTCCCAGGTATTCTTTTATACAGGTAACGAGCTGAGATTAGGAGCACACTCTTAAAGGGAGTGCTCCTAATCTCAGTTTGTTACCTGTATAAAAGACACCTGTCCACAGAAGCAATCAATCAATCAGATTCCAAATTCTCCACCATGGCCAAGACCAAAGAGCTCTCCAAGGATGTCAGGGACAAGATTGTAGACCTACACAAGGCTGGAATGGGCTACAAGACCATCGCCAAGCAGCTTGGTGAGAAGGTGACAACAGTTGGTGCGATTATTTGCAAATGGAAGAAACACAAAAAACCTGTCAATCTCCCTCGGCCTGGGGCTCCATGCAAGATCTCACCTCGTAGAGTTGCAATGATCATGAGAACGGTGAGGAATCAGCCCAGAACTACATGGGAGGATCTTGTCAATGACCGTTTGGCTAAAAAAGCAGTACCAATTATATCTGTAGGCTACACTGTATGTGAAAGAGCAGACACGTTTTTTTAACCTGCTAAATAAGTCGCCGAAATGATGTGTACCTTTATTTCATGTGATACGGAATTGTAATCCTATTTTTCCTGAAGGAAAAGAAGCAAGCAAGTGGTCAGCTCAGAGCAGTTGTTATCGGTCATATTTTGACACATCAGCACGAAGAGCTGACTTCCTCTATCCATTCTGTCTGTTGTGCACTGACTCCTGATCAGAGAAAGATCTCACCTCGTAGAGTTGCAATGATCATGAGAACGGTGAGGAATCAGCCCAGAACTACATGGGAGGATCTTGTCAATGATCTCAAGGCAGCTGGGACCATAGTCACCAAGAAAACAATTGGTAACACACTACGCCGTGAAGGACTGAAATCCTGCAGCGCCCGCAAGGTCCCCCTGCTCAAGAAAGCACATATACAGGCCCGTCTGAAGTTTGCCACTGAACATCTGAATGATTCAGAGGAGAACTGGGTGAAAGTGTTGTGGTCAGATGAGACCAAAATGGAGCTCTTTGGCATCAACTCAACTCGCCATGTTTGGAGGAGGAGGAATGCTGCCTATGACCCCAAGAACACCATCCCCACCGTCAAACATGGAGGTGGAAACATTATGCTTTGGGGGTGTTTTTCTGCTAAGGGGATAGGACAACTTCACCGCATCAAAGGGACGATGGACGGCGCCATGTACCGTCAAATCTTGGGTGAGAACCTCCTTCCCTCAGCCAGGGCATTGAAAATGGGTCGTGGATGGGTATTCCAGCATGACAATGACCCAAAACACACGGCCAAGGCAACAAAGGAGTGGCTCAAGAAGAAGCACATTAAGGTCCTGGAGTGGTCTAGCCAGTCTCCAGACCTTAATCCCATAGAAAATCTGTGGAGGGAGCTGAAGGTTCGAGTTCCCATACGTCAGGCTCAAAACCTTAATGACTTGGAGAAGATCTGCAAAGAGGAGTGGGACAAAATCCCTCCTGAGATGTGTGCAAACCTGGTGGCCAACTATAAGAAACATCTGACCTCTGTGATTGCCAACAAAGGTTTTGCCACCAAGTATTAAGTCTTGTTTTGCAGAGGGGTCAAATACTTATTTCCCTCATTAAAATGCAAATCAATTTATAAAATTTTTGACATGTGTTTTTCTGGATTTTGTTGTTGTTATTCTGTCTCTCACTGTTCAAATAAACCTACCATTAAAATTATAGACTGATCATTTCTTTGTCAGTGGGCAAACGTACAACATCAAATACTTTTATCCCTCACTGTATGGACAGCTACACCACGTAAGCGCTGCGCAGACAGGCCGACTGCTCTCAAATTACAGCGCATTCCTAGTCTACCAAATACCCATCCAGTCCCAGAAAGAGGACTTTTACTGTGAGATAAACTTTCCAAAACGCACGGGTCCCTTGGGAGTGACGGCTGCTTGTGATATGCCTATGCTCCACTTTGCTGTAAAGCAAAACTGTAGGTTGGGTTTTCTTCTGGAGAAGTAAGTAGGCTACCACAAAAGTTAAAAGCCAATGAAACGTACTGTAGCCTACTTAAGTATTGTAATTTGCGAGATTTATTGTTACCTTTATTGCTGACAAGGTACCCTACAATAATGACAACCGCAATGTAGCCTATAGAATGAGATTAAACATAGCTCAATTCAAATGCTCAAGTGATAGCCTATGGAAAAAGCATTGTGGAGAAACTGGAGACTTCACGCACGCTGCATCTTCAGAACCAATGCTGTCCAATCTTCAATAAAGTGTATGTAACCGTATCTACATGGTGTCACCGGACGTGTTTGCACGATAATAAAGGCTGTAAACGTTCCTTGTGGAATGCACCCGAGTCGGGGAAACGATGGTAAGTGTGGTTCACGTTTCCTTAAATCAGCATCGTCGTTTTGCTGCCCTATAGCACAATTTGAAACTTTGTTTTAGGCTACGCATCCACGTGAAAGTGCTGAATTTGCACATTCTTGCTGCAATTTTGTTTATTCTGTTCTCGATAATGCTCCAGAATAGCCAACTTCCAAACCGTTTGGATAAAAGACCAGTACCAATTCTATCTGTAGGCTACACTGTATCGGAAAGAGCGGACACTTTTTAACTTGCTAAATAAGTCGCCGAAATGATGTTTTTCTTTATTTCATGTGATACGGAATTGTAATCCTATTTTTCCTGAAGGAAAAGAAGCAAGAAAGTGGCACATCAGCACGAAGAGCTGACTTCCTCTATCCATTCTGTCTGTTGTGCACTG